AGCAGTGCCACCTAGTGTAGACTGTTATTCCTTGGTTTTCCACAATTTTACTGTTCTTGTATCTTGGGTCTATAATGGTTCAAGAAAATAAACATTACCTCTGCATTGTAAAAAGTGCTTTAAAGGTGATTCTCTTGAAATCTGTGCCAGAATATCTTCTCACATAAAACAGCTCTTGCCTGATGGCTGTTTCACTCCTCTGCTGAGTTAATGACAAAATAGTTTGAAATTATGCACAACAAGTAATTTCATTTGTCATGTTTATCTGTTAAAATGAGATGGACAGATACGAAGGAGCAGCAGCTAGATGCTACTCTTGCTCAGGAGATATGAGCTTGACATTGTGGATTTTCACTGAGAATCAATAATACTGTAAAATTATTCATGGAATAAAATAGCACTTATGACAAAAACTAGTAAAATATGTCTGTCAATCTACATGACAGACTTGATCTGGGAAGAGGAGTAGAAATGAGGATTAGGTTACAGATTCAAGAAGTAAATGGTTTATCCTATGTGAGAATTCTGAAAAGAAGTGGGCTTAAACTTGCTATGGGTCTCAGCAAATTGTTGTCATTTATAACTCTCAGGCTGTTCTTGCTGTTGAGTTTTGGATCCTGACTCACAAAGAACAGTCCCCACAAGTCTGAACCTTTGTTATGACAAATAAACAAAGCCATGGAATGGATTTTTATTTTCACTATAGTCCCTCTAAAGACAGACTAATGCAATCTAAAGACATTTTTCTGGATTTTCATCAGGCTTAGGAAAACAGACATTTAGTTCTGTGCACCTCTAACCTAGAGGAAGTTCATCACTGCAGCTGGAGCTGTTGGGAATTGCATGTTTTTTCTAGATTCCCAAAGGAAACACTGTCAGCCAAAGTTAGAAAAGGCAGGAGGACAGAAAGCAAAAGGCACAACGGCTGGATTTATACTGATGTAGTATTTGTTCTGCTCTGCCTTCCAAATGAGCTGCTGAAGCTCTTTTCCAGTTAAGAATTGTTCATCTAGTGCTGTCTAGCTTAATACACAGAGACACTTCTAAGGCTACCCAGGGAACATGAAAAGCCCTGTCCTGAGTTCAGGTGTGCACATGCCCCCTTTGACTGCTGATTCCAGACATGGGAAGGGGAGAAGACCAGCAGGATCCTTGAAAGAATGATTTATATGAAAGGCTGTAAGTGAGAGGATAATTTATAGTGTATTGATACTCAGAGTCTGGGGATTTTGTGTTGTACCAGCAGCACATCACTCACAGATCTCTTCAGATAATGCTGACTTGGAGTCCTTTCTTTGAGGCGAAAATGAGGTTGTGACTACTCCAGTGCCAAGGTATCAGATCACTGACTCAGGGCATGGTGAAAATTTAGTCAGCAGTCATAACCAACACTGTCTTGTGCATGGGCATATTCCATGTTGCTCAAGAAAATCAGATCATGACCTGAAAATTAGGGCACCCACTAGAATGTTTTTTATTCCTAGTGGTTATGAGGCAAATCTGTTCACAGTATTTCTCTACTCACAAGGGTTTTCTATTATTTTTGTTAGTTGGACCAAAATTCTGTAGAAACAAAGCTCCAAATTATATCAAGAACATTCTGTCTCCAGAACTTTGATCTCCATAACTCTCAGAGGGGATTCATGTTTTGGCTGTTATCAGTGAAGGGTATGGACAAGTGTTTCTGACTGAGATGAGCTTGGTATTTCACTCACATCATTGTAAGGGGTTTATATTATTACCTATAATTCAGTCTCTTACTGTATAATTTTGGAAGCCCTGGAGTGGAAGGACATTCAGGTAGCTCTAAGTTTATGGTAGCCTGAGTTATTTTTTGAAGTAAATGACATATTAAGACATCCATGACCCTGTAGCCGGTGATTCTGAGCAGATGTTGTCAATGGCAGGAATATTTCAGAGTACTTCCTGGTGCTGATTGACAGCTGATGGCTTTGAAAACCAAGATTGCTGAGTGATATCTGAAGCATTTTAGAAGAAGTAACACCTTTGCTGTTAATAATTGTGAGTTATCTTACTCTGATTTTACTTACTGATCTAGTGGGAAGTCATGGCATGTACAGAAAAGCAGGTGATCTGATCTAGTTCTTCCCATTCTTCTCTGTGTGATCTGTGGTTTCTATCACCAAGTGACAGAGAAAGATTTCAGGGCACTCTTTGTTAAAATGTTAGCATTGCATCACAGGCACCTTTTCTGTTTTTCTCCCCTGGGTTATGCAATAATAAGTTTTGAAAGTGCAGCAGAGGTGGAGATATTAATGGCAATGTCTTCCTAACTCTGTTTTAGCCAGCCTGGTTTGTTTTGGTGCTGCAGTCTGCATTAGGCCCTTCTGCAGACCACTCCAGGGCAGAGTTCTGCCACAGTCTGCAAAGCCAGTGAGCTTTGGAAGGGGATTGCTTGAAACCCCATCTCAGAGCTTTGCTTTAATTTTCAACCACATCAAATGGCAAACTCACTCACACGGTTGCTTTAGATCCAGGGTAGATCTGTGGATGCCACACTGACAAACACAATCAGAGCTATGTGCTTGGCCCAGGGAGAATCAAAACAAAACTAAACTGCAAGGGGAAGTTAGGCAACCTTCCAAGGAAGTCCAGGATAATGACTGGTGTGTCCTGGCCTTGCATCACCAGTAGCAGAACATACAAATACTCTGAGGTGGCGTTGTGCTGAAGGCTGCAGCAAGGATTTCACCTGGTGGGGTTTGTTTTATTATTTTGCAATATTAAAAAGCCTTCATGGGAACCTAGCAGAAACCTTAGGATTTGAAAAGTTACCATGTTGTCAGGGATACTTGAAAGCTGGAAAAGAGGTTTCTCATTTTCTTCCTTGCAGATGAAAGTTCTCTGTCAATTTAATTCCTGATGGTGTGTTGAGTTTTGTGGCCTTTTCTCACAAAGATAAACTGTTTTAAGTGAAAGCAAAATCCTGGTGTAATCTTGGTAGCAGTTGTAGGGCTTGACAATTTTTAAGGATTTTAAAAGGAAAGTTCAGTCATAGAGCTAAATTGGAGTGGAGCTGGACCTTTGAGGCAGTGACAGGCATTAAACAGGGAACCTGTGAGGAGCTGGAACTTTCCACAAGCAGTTTGAGCTGCAGTGTCTGAAAAGAGAGGCCATCCTTCCCAAGGAAGGGAATGGTTTAATTCTGACTACAAATGAAGTACAGCTGTAGGAAAATTAATTGCCTATGTGTGTTAACAACTGTATTTGACCATTTCACAAGCAGATCAGAATCTGATTTGTCATTTTTAAGAAACTTCCCCTCATGGGCCTCTGAAAATCAACACTTAGCAGAGCTGTTAATGCACAAAAATTGAAGTGAATGGTCCTATGAGGCTGCACTCACATGTTGATTTTATAATTTTATGAACTTAGACTTGTGCATTAATGTTATACATGTATCCCTTTCCCAAACACATATAAATAATTCTGTTCTGCTCTTGTCTGAACCAGTTTTTTTGCATTTTGACAATCACATTCATAAACACAGATATGCCAATTAAGGAATTAAAAGTTTTGACAGCCTTCTCAGTAGATCACACTGAGCAGGAAAGTAACTGCAATGTATAGTCTCAGATTAATGCCCCACTTAAAATCCTTGAGGTTTCCTGTATGAAATTGGGAAGAGGGATTTTTCTCTAAGAAAATTGCGTGCTATTTAAAAATTCATTCTGCAAACAGCAGTTTTCTTTGTCTGAAAGCTCTGCTGCATTTTGATGATGATAGAGGAGGTCACTGTTGTTCAGCCCCTGCCATATCTTATTCTGTTGTAGTATAATAAACCAAAGTTTCTCTAGTTGTTAATGAATTAGTATAGACACAAAACCCCTTGTATTTTATAAATAACTTAGGGTTTCTTATCAAATAAGGCTAGAAAATGTTTTAAGCTGAAAATCAGATATTTGCTGTCCCACTTGTGAACAGCAGAAATACAATTGAAAAGCTAGACTAACATGTTCAACAAAAGACAAATCTTCCTTGTCTATCAATCACAGCAGAACTGGGCATAAACAAAAGGAGTCAGTGCCAGGACCTAGAATGCACCTCTTTCCTCTGACCGCATTTGGTTTTTTCCCTCTGGCTGATGCTTTGATAAAAATGGCTATAATAAGACCTCATGCTGACTTCAGAGGGAGCTGCCACAATCCATGTCCTTGGCTGATCTCTGGTTGCCCCAGCTGGGCTGTGACTTGAGCAATTGGACAGTTTAATTTTTTCAAGTGAGCTCAGCTATGTTAGAACTTCTGTGTGTTGGTTTGAGCATCAGTATTGCCTCAACATCAACATAAAAGAGGAGAATAAGGTGCAGTGGATAATTCCTCCCTCTGAATTGGCATTACTAGCTTTCTATGATATCACTGCCTAACTTGGGCACAGCTGTGCTTAGATTTTTTTAATATATTTTCCTTATGGCATTACCATATCCTTAGTCACAGCATCTTAATTTGAAATGCTGCTACACATTCCAGTTGGATGAAATTTTAACATTTAGCTTTTTAGCTAAACTTAACATCCCTTGAGGCCTTAGAGTTTGAAGGCCTTGGTTCTTTTTTGGTTTTTTGGGTTTTTTTTGTTTTTTTTTTTTTTTTTTTTTTTTTTGTCTTTAAAGAATTGCAATGCCAATCAAGCAATATTTTCCCAGGCTGTCTGCTGCTGATGCAAAGTAGAACACTCAGTTTGTTGATAGCATAGGGTAATACCCTGCTCAAAGAATTGCCCAATTCAATGGCAGAAACTAAGGAGCACCTTGATTATTAGTCAGCTATGTTATGGAAACTATTCAAAATCTTGGCTGCTACTCCAAGGAACTACTTAATAAAAATAAGTATGAATCAAACAACAACACCCCCATCAAACCCCCACCACTCCCACCCTGAGAAATCCAGTTGTGATACTGAGAGTGTGGGCAGGGTGAATGTATTTTAACTGCTCTGTCCTGAATGGGTCACAGCATTGCACTTCCACTTCTTTTTAGTTAGACAAGCACAGTTGTGTTTATTATTCTGAGTATAGAAGTCAACACACTTCAGATTTCTGGAAAACATTCAAGGATTTGTATTCCGTGCAAAAGGGTTTAAAACAGAATGTGCTGCTTGTCAAAAACATCCTATCCCAGTTCCTTCTGCAGCCAGCACTCCAGAGCAGAAGAAGCCAAGCCAGTATTGCTGAGAGGAAAAAAAAGAGGGGGAGAAATCTAAATAACAGAAATCCATCTGCATGATTGTCACATGATACCACTGAGAAACATCTGTGAATAAAGCAGAGTTCAACAGAGAGTCTTAATGATTAGAAATCAATCCCTCTGCAAAGGAGGTTATTTTCCAGTGTGCCAGGTCCAGCTGAAAAGTACAGTGATGTGGGGTAACTCTCACTGTTTATTCTGATATTTTAGCCATAAGTGCAACCTTCTGTCAGTTGAAGTTTTTCTGGAAAAGTGCAACTTTGTCCAAACAATCGTAAGTGGAGTAAAAGGAAAAAAATGGCAAATTATTGGAGAAGTCATATAATCACAAAATTCCACACCATAATTTGGTCTGTTTCGCATACCTTGACAGTGTATTTATGCTACTAGAGGTGGGTAAATGTAGCTCAATCCTATGAGACCTTCCATGGTTGGTGGGAAGCTGTGGCAGTTCTCCTCAGGTTTTAAGCCAGTTGCTTTCCTTTCTCCTCTTATAGATAGAGAGTATTTCTGTGGGAAGTTAATTTTAATTTTGATAACTTTCTGCCACAGTGCCAGTGAGGCATGAAATCAATGTCATTAGCATTTACAGGAAACATGAGCAAGTTCAGGGATAGAAGTATACTTGAGCATTGATGAAGTCAGCGATTTTTGTATCTTTTGGGTTTTTATCTTGCATTGTTAAAAACACTGGTAAGATGTATTGGATGGCAGAGTTCTCTTTATAACGTCAGAAATCATACAACAGGTGTCTAAGTTTGCAAAAGCAAGCAAGTCTGTGTAGAAATGTGTGTTAGAAATGAGATTTCCATAAATCACAAATAAGACATGTATGTTTGTTAAGGATGAAAATTAATCAAGTAAGGGTGACTAATCTAGCAGCATGCTTTCCCAAGGTACTGAATGCTCTCATTTGCCTTTTTGGATGTCTCATGGAAAGCAGTAGGAAGATCTTCTGAATGTTAGGTAAACATAGAATGGACTAGAGCAGAAAAGTAACTTAAGGGGTTTTTAATTCTTTTATGTTGCAATACATCAGGACAATGTGCCTAGGTAAGTTTAGGAATTTTCACAATTCTTCTGTTCTAAATTTTTTAGTTAGTAAAGTTCCTGTAACACAAGTTTCTTCAAGTTCTGCAGTTGAAAATGTATGCAGCTCTTGCTTTGCAGAACATATGTGAAATACTCTAATAAAATCTGTCTTCATGTGTACTTAAGGAAATAAGAGCAAAGTAACCGAGGTTTTGAACTTGGATTCCTGTTTCTGTTTATTGTTGTAAGTTGACCAGCCAGTGAATAATTTAAGTTCATTATACTGATGTATGGGATGTGTTGAGAAACTCTTGATGTGTTTCAAACCAGGGCCTGAGTAATTCTAAAATTTCATCATAATTTTTCAAGAGGGGTTCAGTTGCAAAGAGCTATAACAAAATTATTGGTAGCCTGTTGTAGAACCTGAATGCATTCAGGTTCCAACAGCACTGCTAATGCTAGATCTTAATCCATATTTCTGTTTTATGGCAATGCTGTAACCTGGGCTGGTTATTCAGAGTGCTCAGACTGGGCCAGTTGAGATCATTAACAGATTTCAGAAAATTACCATGATCCAAATGGTCAATGTTCAGTATAGTCTAAGAAATTGAGTGAAATAAAAGATAAATTAGCAGGAACTAGTCTCCATTGCAGAGCAGCCTTGAAAATCAAACTAGGATTTGGCTGAGGGGACTGGGTTTTTATTGTTGTTTGTCTGTCTGTTGGGTTTTGGTGGGTTTTTTTGGGGGGATGGTTTTATGGAAACATGGAAACACAGGCAGGCATCCCCACTACAGAGGTTTCAGATAAGTCTTTCCTGCTTTCCAACCTGGTGAAAGAAGTTTGTCTTTATAGCATTATCTCCTGTTTGGACAGTCCTCATTTTACTGCAAAAGCAGAAATATGGAAGCTTGTAATACTGCCCATGGGAAATGTCTCCAAAAGTGCCATGGTAGCTACCAAAATATTAAATTTTTTATCTCACTTAAACAGGCAATTTAAATATAAATAACTTTATATTCTTCAGTAGAAAGAGGCTGTGATGGAACTAAATTTAGTTTAAATTCAGTTGCTCCCAAAAATTGCTCAGATATTGTATTGTCTGTGCAAATGCACAGTTCAGGTCCTGTGACAGCATCTTAGAATATATTATTTCTGTCACACCCACCATGCTTTCCTTTCCTACAAGCAAAAAAGATTTCTAAATTTCCCAAACTGCTTCCATATGTTATTTTTACTTTTAAACACTCTAATTAAAAAATTTGTTTTAACATAACACTGAAATCTAGGAGCTAAGAAAGGAAAGGGTGGGTTTGCTTTCATCAAAGTAGTAAATTACTTTTTCATTTCTGTATTTCTTTATTTATCTTGCAAATTTTATCGTTCAAGTAGAATTTTTATTATTTGATTAGTGGAATCAAGTCAACATATTTAATATACAGTAATTTCTTCCATATGATATGTGGTTTAATGAACTACTTAGTGGTGACTCATTTCTCTGCCATATTCCTTTGCCACTGACTCTGTTGCTGTTGTTGAGCAAGAAAAAGAAGGCAGCAGTGGTTTGGATACTAAAGCCTTCAGGGAATAGTGAGTGGAGGATGTGCAAGGGTATCCAAGTAGGAACTGAGAGTGGAGGCCAGAGAAAAAGCTCCAAAAGCAACTGAAATTGTAATTGAGAACATAATAAACCCTTAAATAAATCACTGTGGGCTTGGTACTTAAGTGGGACTCTGAACTGCAATTTTAAAAAATGTGCTGCTTTAGACATAGATGTATCAATCTTTGTGATTGCATGGACAAAATAACTGAGACATTCATAAGTTGCATGTTGTAAAGGAAAAGTCAACCAGTTGCCAATGAAAATAAATTGCAGTGCAGTGAGATAAAACCCCTAAAGTCAGCACTCCCACTCATGAAGTTTAATTAGTTGCCATCAAAAACACCAGAGAACAATGTGCATGGGCTCACTTAGGTCTTCAGGGCATGTGGGAGGATTAGTGGCATACATTAAGTGTAATCATTTTCATTGAGCATACAAGAATGTTCTTTTCCTCATCAGAACAGTGATCCGCCCTTTCTTTACACACTCTCCCTCCAAGGACTCTTCAGCTGTTTCTTCCATCAGTCCTGTTCCACCCCCACTGAGGGATTGAGGAGTCTTGCTGCTGTCTCCTAGCATGGACTTGGAGCAGACAATTCTCATATTACAGCCGGTAGCTAAACTGTTTCTCAAATAAAACTATAAAATCCTCCCACTAGTGTGCATCCAGTGCATTTGGGCTATCTAAGGTGGGAAGTGCTATGTATTCACAGAATCTGGTTAGATTTTTAGGTTTTTTTAATGGTTGTAAGATCAGGATATCAAATTGTTAATTAGTCGTTCTGTCTCTTTACAGGTTCATTCAGTACAAAATTGCTGTATTGGACCTGTTTATGCAGATACTTAGGCAAGGAAATAGAATATATATATAATTTAAAACTTCAGATTTATTTTCTCCCTCATTAATAAACTAATAAATAGCTTTAGATTTACTCTTCTGCCAAGTGATATACCAAAGATTTATGGCTTTTCTGCATTCTACATCTGTATGGATACAAAAGCAAGTTTTCATCATCAAATGGAAGTACTATGAAAACTTAGGTAAAGTTTGTCTTCCATGAACTCATGATTTCAAGGAACACTTGGATTCTAGTTAGTATTTTCTCTGTTGGCTCCCCTTGAATACAAATCCATCCCAGGCCAAAGCTCTGCATGATAATCTGCCACGGGGTTGGTCTAAGTGCTTCAGTGTTCAAAGCTCCAGTTGTGGCTGCATTCTGCTGGAATTAGGGAACTGCCAGCCATTGTGGGGAATGCTAACACAAGGAGGGAAGTGACTTTTCCAGGTACAGACTTAACCTGTGAATAAGGAATAAGCAACTTGTTGTGTAGCTTTCAATGAAAAATCAAAATTTATTTATATCACTTTAAAATAGAAGCTTTATTGTAGATACTAATTTTAAAAAGCAGAGCTATCTCCATATTGTAATAAAAGTTGATAGTGCTACTTTAGGTGACTGGAATATGCTGTCTTAACTTCATTTAATATAAGATGGACCTTGAAGAATAGAATAGAATAATACACTTCAATATTATTTAGTGTTAGCAGGGAATAATAAATATTATGGCTGTGTATTGTTGAATTCTAAATGGCTTTGCTTCCTTTTTTAATTTTAATTTGTTCATGCTGTTCTTGACTTGGCTACTGTTATCTTTATTCAGTAAAACAGTCTCTTATTATGAAAACATTGGTAATGGCTTTTAAATGAATGGGGGGAAAAAACAGATGTACAAAATATTACCAAAGAGCTGTAAATATTTCATGAAAGGAAGACGAGGTTCAAGTGGAGTAGTTAATGAACCAAGCCACGATAGCATTAAAAATACAGAGCTGTGAATGTTCCAGTGTGACAGCACCCAAAACATTCAGCTTGTGGCAGTGCCAGTAGTGGATGTAGAACTGCAAAGTGGGAGTGAAACCAACGGCATAAGGCACTTGACAGCAGTGAGCTTTGACTTGCTGGATGGGGGTACTTTTTGATCAAGAGAAAAATAAAACCTTTCACTGAATGAAGCACACTCATATTTATGGATTTAGAGATATGGATGGAAAGTACTTCTGGCCTACCCTCTAATATGAAGTAGAATTGTTGCTGTTTTTAGATCAGCCACAGCAGAGTCCTGAAAATTTCAACAATTGAGATGTTTCTTCTTTCCCTCCAGAGGAGAAGAGATGGCCCTGCTGGAGCAGGGGGTTTGGAGCAGATAAACCAGATCTCCTGCCAGCCTCAGCCACTCTGTGTTAGGGGAATGTGGGACACACCTTATTTGAAGGTTCCTTCCCTTAAATGTTAGAGAGGGAACACACATTGACACCAAGTGTAAATGTTGTGTAGTGACTCTGAAAATGGCATATTGAAGTGTGTTCAGTTTAAAGAGCAGGTATAGAGGTGTGACTTCAAGTGCTGTATGAGCCTGGAAGAATATTATTCCTCTTGAAGATTGCTTAAGCTAAAATAATATTCAAAAACACTCTATACAGTCAGAAGATCACCCAGGCAGAGAAAATGTTCATGTCATTCAAGCTGGGACCAAAAATGAGGGGAGGAAATGGATGTTGTTTGAAGAGAAGACAGTGGCATCTTCAGCTCTGAGCCACCTCACCCACCTCAAACTTCAGTTCTTGTTTTCACAGTAAAGGCAAGTTGTTTCTAAAAGTCAAAATTTGTAATGTAGTTGTACCAATTCCCATCTTCTCCCATATTTGTTCCAGGGACATTACTCAGAGAAGTATTGAGACAGCTGGGAGAATTGAACTGTTTCAAATATGTTCTGTGTCTTTCTTGTTTTGGTTTTGATAACTTTTAATTTCCTACTTTGTAATCAAGAATGTAACCCTCTATCTTGCTAGACTAAACTCAATTGCCTTTTTGGATTTGTCTAGCATTAATGATAGCCTCATGCAATAGTGCCAAGTATAAAGCATCTTGTCTTTTTCCCAAAATAGCTCTATTTGTTATCATGTCGTGAAGAATTTGAAATCCAGAAAATGTTCAGGAAGGTAATTCAGGGTGACTTTCCCGCCAAGCTCCAGAGGTTGGTTTTGTAGCTAATAAAACCCAGATTTGAATCTGACGGAGAAACACCAACCGGTAATCATTCTCTGATAAGGACAGGCAGAACACAATTCCTCTGACTGTGACTTCATGGATCTTACACAACCCAATTTATCCCAACTGTAAAACCTAGGCAAGGATGTGCAGAAGGGGAGTGGTTGTTTCTATTTCTTCTTTTCTTTCTGTTTCCAAAGACTTTCCAATACCTTTGCCTGATCTTTTACAATAATGTAGATAGGCGAATATCACACATTTAAGATTAAATTAAGCAGAATACTCAAGTAAAACCTTGTTGGGAGGTCTCGAGCAGCAAAAGGTACTGAATGATCCTATCACTGAGTGAAGCAGCCCAGGAAATAATCCTGCTCTTCCATCAGAAGTGTATGTATGTGAACAAGGGTTTATACCCCTGTATGATGTTCTTCCATGTAACATCTGCAAGGAATACCTCAAGGCAAGATTAAGCAGGAGCAGTCTGGAGAGTGACAGAGAGGATGGTTAAAGACAGTTGTTTTCATCTCACTTCCTCTTCTTCCTGCTTACTAAGTTTTTTGATTACCCTTTAATTTCAAGCCATGTTTCAGTGGACAGAACCTGTTGTGGGAAATAAACAAACATGCTTAGACTTTGGCTTCAGTTGTGCATTCAGTGGTGCTTATCAGATTGGTCTAGGCATCCAGGGGTTTTATCACTCATTAGAATGATTGCATATGTCCAAAAATAAACATAGGCATTGAGCAGGAATGCAAATTTCTGCTACGGAGGGGAGCTGAGGGAGGGATATCCCTGTGGAGGGAACCAGCTAGATAAGACTGCACTGAGTTTTAAAGAATAGAGGAAGCACACAAGAGTCTGAGATGTGTTTAGATGCAATGAATCTTAATTTTTCTTTTTCTGGGACCTAACCCTTCTATAATAGAGGACCCAGTAAAATGCATCATCAACAGATACAAGAATTTGTTTCTGGCTTTCTGATAAGACTGTCTGTTGTTACTTTCCGTTGTTCCTTTAACCTGATGCTAAAGGTGACAAATTTCTTGGTATCAAAGGAAAGCCCATGGGCTACAGATTGAAATCCCAAAAGACAACCTGTCAAAAATGTTATGTGAAAAAAAACCAGTAGTTTCTTTTCTGTGTTGCACTTCTGTAGGGATATTTATAATTGGAAAAGAACTCATACCTGTGGTATCCAGCAGTATCACTAAATATATTTTTATATTGTTCACTGCAGCATCTTGTGTGCATTAGTGCTGCTAATGCAAATTACGGTTCCTGCTCTTTCCTTTTAAGAAGAAATTTAACCCATTGGATTGAAAGAGAACCTCTGGATCAGATCAGTCTTGCAGCTACAGGTAGCAGTGCAGATGTAGTCAGGTCAGAGGGTATTAAGGAGTTAACAATATAGGCCCCCAGACAGCAAAGCTGCTTTTCAAAACCATAAAACAAAGCCTATAAGAATAAAGCAAATGGCAACACTACAGACAGCACAAGAGGATGACGCTGCCCACAAGTTCTTGGACCATTGCAATAATTGTGAAATTTGCTAAATAAAAATTTGGAATTGTCCCAATTTCCTGTGCTAGAAAAGACATCTGCATGTCTGTCTCAAATGTCATCCTTAACTTCCAGATTTGTAACTACAGAGCAACTTCAGAATTTTCTTATAACTTCTGTGGCTTTTCTTTTTATTATTGCAGAGGTAATTTCTTGATTTGCAAGTGACCTGCTGTATGTTAGGGGTCTGTATATATTTTGACTGTTTTTTCTCTGTTCAGCTGAAGAGAAAGAATTCAATCCATAATATTTCTCTCACAGCACCTCAGTTAGTGTCCTGGAAACTGCATGTACTTCCTGCCAAGTCATGCAACTATAGCATCATGGCAAGAAGTAACAATACTTCTGTTGTTTGAAGCATTAGGTTTTTAGACTGTTAGGAATGCTAGTGGTGCTGCTTCTTTTAATTATTTAACTTCTCCCAGAGTCAAGAAACTATTGATATCTAGAGTATACTAAAAAGGCACTTGAAGCATGATCTTAGTCTCTTATTGCCTTAGTCTGTGATTCTCCTTTGAGTTTACAAAGACAGTTGTGCCACTCTGGGAAGAAAAATGAATGTATTTTAAATTTGCTCTTCACTGGATCACTGAGTGATGTGTGTGTGTGTGTCATTTCATAGGTCTTTTTCTGAAGCACTGCATTTGTGATTTAAGTGCTTTTGTTTTGGGTGGGTAGAGCCTCTTTACCATCAGAAAGAGACAGGATATAGTGGGCAGCTGGAGTCAGGCCCTGCTTCTCTGAGTGCCTCTTTAGAGGTCTTTGGAGGTCCTGGCTCAGTGTTTATGTGTTTGCTGTTTTCTATAAAACCAGTTATCCTTGCACTTTCTCCACCAAATCCTGCCATACAGGGAGCAGCAGTCAGTAATTTAGGGGACCCAAAAGGAGAAGTTAAGATTGTAGAAGCATTAGGTTATAGGATGTGTCAATCTAAGTAGGCCAGTCATCACAGCCTGTCAGTACAGACTACCCAAGGGGTTTTATTTGATGTCTAATGTGTGTATGCATAATTGCATCACTGACAGTGCTAATTTTGCTGTAAGGTTCTTCCAGTGGAAAAATAAAAGATCTAAGAGGTTGTTTTGTCTGACAGAGTATGGTTAAGTGATGTGCTATTAGGATTTGCATAGGAATATATAGGTAATATGCCAATGGAGGTTGCTGTGCCTGAAACCATCCAGTGGTGTGTGCTGACTCACTGTCTCACCATGCTTTTAGCAAGTGTGCAAGAATTATAAGGATATGCCACATTTCTCACCTCATTATTGCATATCTAGCAAGGCTCAGCTTGTAAGCAATTTTATCAAAGGAAATATGGGTAGGAGTAAGTTTCTACTTACAAGGTAGAGAGGAAGGAGTAAACCCTTACTTAAGAAAGGAAAACCAGGTATGCTGAGATCTGTGAGGAGTCAGATTTGAAGGACACAAGTAGACCCCAAATAGTACAAGGAGTTGGATTCATGGTGTGGTTTGTGTGTAAAAATCAGATTTTAGGCCCAATCTAGGGACTATCTATAGCAATGCTTTGAAAAAATTGACACTTCATTTTACAGTTAGCAGAAGCAAAAAGCAATTTCACTTAAAGCATATCCAGATAGTCTCACTGCTGTTCTCCATGGTGGTGATATCCAAGAGGCAGAGATATCCCCTGCCCCTTTGCAGACAGCCAGTGCTGCCCTCTGGGAGAGGTGGCAATGTCCCCAGCAAGTGAGACAGCAAGGGGCTGCTCTGGGAGCACAGAGCTGCCCAGTTCCTGAGCAGGCTCCTGTTCCCAGTGCTGTGGGCAGGGCTGCAAGCAGACACAGGGCATGCACAGGGCTGCAGAGGGGCACAGGGCTGCAGGCAGACACAGGGCATGCACAGGGCTGCAG